TCATTTTAAAATCATGGCTCGTTCCTTGATTTAAGCTTACCTAACAAATAGTGAGAGCTGAACATTAAAACAAAACTGAAGAATGACGCCAAACCACTCCAAGTACTTAAGCTTAGTGGCGCTCACCATAAAATATAACTGAGTGACGAAACACCAAAACAGAACTAGGAGCGCTTTGCGATTCGGTTTAACTTGCGGTGGTGTTTCAAGATGTCTTTATGACTTCATTCGAATAATTCAAGAATCTGGTGAAAATTCAAATCGCTCTATTTTAGTATTCGCTGATATTTCAAATTCAAAATCTTGGCGCTAAACTTTGTAGAATAAATCATACAATTAATCAACAATTATTCTACGAAGTCGCGCCGTAGATGAGATGCTGAATAACCAACGAGGTGCATGGCCCCGAGTATAATCTCAGAGTCGGAAAGCGTGAAGAGAATAATTTGTTTGAATGAAACTGCACACCAAAGATGATTCTGCCAACTAGCTTTCATTTGGTTTGACAACCATCAAAAACAAAAGCATGGTTCGCTCACGGAAAATTTTGCTCATTTCACTGACGAATTCATTGACTTAATTTTCGGTGGCAAGATATGAACTCACAGCTAGGTCACGCGCCCACAAAATGGCTCCCTTTAACCAATCAGATGGTTCGAAATTCAATAATTGTGCTCCAAAAATTTAGCTTAGAAAGTCTTTACGATGGCCAATTTACATTATCAACTAAGTTGATTAAACCAAATTATCTTCAGTTGTTTATTCCCCTTGGGCCTTTTGCGATGTCTATTGTTTTACGCTCCTCTCGGAATATGGAAATAAAACATTTACACAAGATAGAAGGTTAAGTGCTGTTTTGAGCGATACGGTCCGCAAGATAACTAAATTAAGTAATTGCAAATGTAGAATCAGCTGCAGGATTTTTTCGAGTTCTTCTTACGAAGAATAATTCTCTAGCCAAAGAATATTATATTGTAATGAGTTACCAAGAGATTACTTTCGTCTGCTCTCGTTTGTTTTAACAACAATGCATAAACAACGGCCGTTTTTGTATTCGCAAATTCAATTTGCGAACAATTTAAGCAATAGCGAAAATCAGACCTGAAAAAATTCAGGCCTGTATGGGATTCAATCCACTGACCTCTGCGATACTAGTGCAGCGCTCTACATATTGAGCTAACAAGCCAACTGGAAGCAGGTCATTAAATTAGTCCGACATAAACCTGTAAGATGACCACAGTTCAGATATATGAATTTCATATAATCGTTGTGTTTAAAATGTAAAATACTTATTCCGAAGTCTGAGTGAAGGATTAACAAAGCCCACCACTATTTCTATCAATTATTTCCTTAGTCAGTACTAACCAATTTACCAGGACGCCGTTTCCTAAAGCATATAGCCTTTTGTGTAATTGGACTCAATATTGGGAAGCCCCTCTTTAAAAAACCCGGATCAAGGTGAAGTGTTTTGTCTTTAGGGGCTTAGTGGGTTTCTTCCTTTGGAGAGATTTACACTGAATGAAGCGTAAGGAGTGGGTGCTGTTCGCATTTTAAAGCCAAGTTCTCATTTTCTGCAATGAGCAAAGAAAGCTCATTGTTTCGACGCTGTTATAGTCAGCAGCAAATTTTAAAATACGTGACGTTTTTAAAATAGCCAGACAAGTGACAAGCTTTCACAATAGTACTTCATACTGCCCTCTTCTGTTCCTTTCAATCCCATCACCATAGCGACAAAGCCCCAGTTTTACAAAAGAAGATTAAGTTCTGCATTGCAAATACCTCCTATACCACTTACTAACCGAGTTCGAGATCCAAGTTTTTTTCCTCCCACGTTTATCGCGCGAGCCATTAAAAAACAAAGCAAGGTTCCGTAACCCGAGAAGAGGGTAGAAAGATAATTATGATATCTCTCGTTTCAAAGAGAGGGAGAAGATTGCAATTCAAACAATCTGTTGAATTTAACGACCTGTAGGGTGAAATATAGCCCGCTAAACGGACCGATCATATCGCACGTACTAACTGAGATATTTAACAATTATTTCACGAACGCGCGTTGGATAGATGATGATGATAGATAGCCAACGAGGCGCATAGCGCCGAGTTGGCTATAATCATCTCATATCCAACAAACGCGAGTGCCATAATTGTTTTATTAAAAACGTTAAATTAAATTATTAAATTTTGTTCAATATTTTTGCTCCCTTTTAATTTTAAGCTGACGCGTACGCTTACCATATTTG